GGCCTCCCAAAGTGCTGGGATTACAGGTGTGAGCCACCGCACCTGGCCTAGGGATATATTTTTAATACATCTGGTTAAGAGATGAAATTTTAAAAATACTTTCTTTCACACTTTATTTGGGAAAAGTTAGTTATGCCTAAGAATTAAAACTAAATCAAAATTTCATTTTTTAACAATAGAAATTCACACAACATAGTACATTATTGCTTAGTAAGAAATGTTTATGTGAACAATAATAAAGTATTGGTTTTACTAAAACCATTGTTCAAAAAGCATTCAATCATATAACCTCAATATATACATAATATAAGAAAATCGTAATTCAGTTGACAAGTTTTATTTAAAGAGTATTTTGTGGAAGAACTTTAGTAGATTTTATACTTTCGGTTAAAACTAAAGGTTCTCATCTGAACATGTAAAATTGCTTATCGCTCAAAGAGCTGTACAGTGTTGGCTTGTTGTGCCAAAGTAGTTTGAAAGAAGTTACTACTTTACCATCAATAACTTTACATTAATAATTTTTAAGTATTTGTAAAAAATTAAGATGATAGAGGCATTAGAAGTGACAAATGAAATCTCCTTTAAAAAGACTGCAAAGGCACATTATAATTCAAATATCTTTAGTAACTAAGAATACCTATTTAAAAATAATTCACAGACAACACAGATTTCAAACGAAACTCAAATATACCTACTGTAAAACTTCACACAATACCCCAAAATATTTTCTACTTTTTTAACATTTTAGCTGAGAGCTAGAGAAGTTTAACATAAACAGAAAGCACCAAATCTAGCCATATAATCCCCCATTTAAAAGAGTTAATAGCTATTACATAAAACTTTATTTTCTGTAAAATAAAGTTTATATGGGACAAATCAATTGCATATGTGTCTATTAAATTCTGAAATTAAAAACCAAAGCTGTTAAGTATTTGGGTAGTTAGATGGTTAGTAATCCAAAGAGTAAGCATATAAAAAAAGTAATTTAAAAAAAAAATAGGCTGGGCGCGGTGGCTAACACTTGTAATTCCAGCACTTTGGGAGGCCGAGATGGGCGGATCACGAGGTCAGGAGATTGAGACCACGGTGAAACCCCATCTCTATTAAAAACATAAAAAATTAGCCGAGCGTGGAGGTGGGCGCCTGTAGTCCCAGCTGCTGAGGAGGCTGAGGCAGGACAATGGCGTGAACCTGGGAGGCGGAGCTTGTAGTGAGCCGAGATCGTGCCACTGCACTCCAGCCTGGGTGAAAAAGAGACTGTGTCTTAAAAAAATATAAATAAATAAAATAAAAAAATAAAAAAATAAAATAAATAATAAAATAAATAAAATGTCAGGTCGGGTGTGGTGGCTCACACCTATAATCCCAGCACTTTGGGAGGCCAAGGCAGGTGGATCACTCCAGGTCAGGAATTTGAGACCAGGCTGGCCAACATGGTGAAACCCCGTGTCTACTAAAAATACAAAAATTAGCCAGGCATGGTAGCAGGCACCTGTAATCTCAGCTACTCAGGTGGAGGCAGGAGAACCACTTGAACCCGGGAGGCGGAGGTTGCAGTGAGCCAAGATCATGCCACTGCACTCCAGTCTGGGCCACAGAGTGAGACTCTGTCCCCCATCCCCCCCACCAAAAAAAAAAAAAAAAAAAAAAAAAGTATCCATCAGTTAATGCAACAGGTCTTCCAATGTTTCCATTTTTGTGAATTGACACTTTTTCAGTAGGGAGAAATAAGTTTGGCATTTTGTTTTGTTTTGGTTTGAGACTGAGTCTTGCTCTTGTCTCCCAGGCTGGAGTGCAATGGTGCGATCTCGGCTCACTGCAACTTCTGCCTCCAGGGTTCAAGCGATTCTCCTGCCTCAGCCTCCTGAGCAGTGCCTGCCACCACGCCCGGCTAATTTTTTTTTTTTTTTTGAGATGCAGTTTTGCTGCTCTCTTGCCCAGGCTGGAGTGCAGTGGTGCAATCTCAGCTCACTGCAACCTCTGCCTTCCGGGTTCAACAAATTCTCTTGCCTCAGCCTCTTGAGTAGCTGGGATTACAGGCACATGCCACAATGCCCGGCTAATTTTTTTGTATTTTTAGTAGACACAGGGTTTCACCATGTTGGCCACGCTGGTCTTAAACACTTGACCTTGTGATCCACCCGCCTCAGCCTCCCAAAGTGCTGGGATTACAGGCATGAGCCACCGCACCCGGCCTATTGGCATTTTTTTTAAAACCCTAATTTTTAGTAAAGTTTTAGTCTAGCAAAGTCTAATGCATTTTATCTGCAGAACACTCATTTTGATTATTATTATTATTATTTTGAGACGGAGTTTCACTCTTGTTACCCAGGCTGGAGTGCAATGGTGGGATCTCGGATCACTGCAACCTCTGCCTTCCGGGTTCAAGGAATTCTCCTGCCTCCCGAGTATCTGGGATTATAGGCATGTGCCACCATGCCTGGCTAAGTTTTTGTATCTGTTAGTAAAGAGGGGGTTTATATTGGTCAGGCTAGTCTTGAACTCCTGACCTCAGGTAATCCGACTGCCTCAGCCTCCCAAAGTGCTGGGATGACAGGCGTGAGCTACCACACCCTGTCACTCACTTTGATCATTAAAAGCACTTGCATTCAAGTAGAGGTACATATCAAAAAAAGAAAAAAAAAAAAGAAGAAAAAGAAAGCAAAGCACTTATCTATGAAGCTATCAGGATATTTTAGAATTCAAAGTTAACACTGATTTTATACATCATAAGTATTTATTTCCACAGCAGAAAATTAGTTGAACACAAGATTATGAATTCACCATACATTCAAAAAATAAACATGTTTTTCAAATAAAGTCAATAGTGAAACGTTATAAGGGTACAAAGTAAATGCTGATATATTAAAATCTTGGTTTGATTTAGCAATTTTACTAAAACCCAGAAGAGTTTCTATGAATAAATTTATTTAATTTAATAAATTATTCATGATTAAAAATTTAGTTTTCATAGATAGTAACAACAGACTAAACATTGAGTATATGGGATTCCAATGAACAATAATAAAAATACTTTAACATTATTTACTTCAAATATTATCTTGAAATTATTCAAATGTATTCAAAGTTTATAGTTAACGGATCTGTAGCAATGAATTCCAGACTACATTGATAGCGATTAGATATATTAGTGCTGTCTGCTTGTCCTTCACATGATCATAGGATGAAGCTTCCTTTTGTAAGAAACATCTTGGCCACACTGGTTACATATAATAATCCAATTAGTTAGCGTATTTATGGAGGAAGCGTTCAAATGCATCATAGATGGCTTGTCTAAAATTAAATATGAAAGAAAAACTCTAAGTAACTAACAAAAAGGGGGGACAAACAATGCCTTTACCGTAAGTTATTTCCAAATTTATCTGTGGCTTGCAACTTTACATCCTCTCTAAATAGCTATGAAACAGGCAGTTTACCCTCCTCAGAATGGGTGTTTGAATCCATGTAACTTTTTTTGTTTTTTGAGACGGAGTCTCCCTGTGTCGCCCAGGCTGGAGTGCAGTGGCGCAATCTTGGCTGACTGCAACCTCTGCCCCTCCAGGTTTAAGCAATTCTCTGCCTCAGCCTCCGGAGTAGCTGGGATTACAGGCGCATGTCACCACGCCCGGCTAATTTTTTTTGTATTTTTAGTAGAGACGGGGTTTCACCATCTTAGCCAGGCTGGTCTTGAACTCCTGACCTCGTGATCCACCTGCCTCGGCCTCCCAAAGTGCTGGGATTACAGGCATGAGCCACCGCGCCCGGCCTTTTTTTTTTCTTTTGAGACAGGGTCTTGCTCTGTCGCCCAGGCTGGAGTGTAGTGGCATGATCTCTGCTCACTGCAACCTCTGCCTCCCAGTTCAAGTGATTCTCATGCCTCAGCCTTCCAAGTAGCTAGAATTACAGGCATGCACCACTACACCCTGCTAACTTTTGTATTTTTAGTAGAGAGGGGGTTTCACCATGTTGGCCAGGCTGGTCTCGAACTCCTGGCCTCAACTGATCCGCCCACCTCAGATGCATGCAACTTTATCACCACTACTGGAAAACATCAAACATACTTCCAACTTTGATGGATCTAGAAGCATTATCTTTTTCTGAAGCACTTTTTTGTGCCTTAGAATATATATATTCATACACACATACATGCACACACACAGCATATGTGTGTGATGTGTGTGTATAAAATAAATTATGAAAGAAAAAGGGACTGATTTATCATCACTTTGTTAAAAATTAATTATGTGACTTTTCAGAATGTAAGATTCTGTTTCACAGATTATGATATAGATGCTTTTCATTTACTATGAACATGTTCCTAGCTACTTAAAATCAAAAGCCTTGGTTTCCTACATTAACTTTACCGAGTATTTTAATATTTCAATTGAAAACGAATAGACAAATTTTATCTTCTATAAGGTATTTCTTCTTTCTTTTTTTTTTTTAGAGAGAAGATCTCACTATGTTGCCTAGGCTTGAGTGCAGTGGTTACTCTCAGGTGCAATCGTAGCACGCTGCAGCCTCAAACTCCTGGCCTCAAGCTATCTTCCCACCTCAGCCTGTTGAGTATCTGGAACTATAGTCCTGCGACACCCTGACCCACTCACAAGATATGTTTTTCTAAAGCTGTTTTTTTTTCTATTGTATAATACATTTTCATAGCAGAATATTCAGAAAATCCAAAATATAGGAAGGGGAAAACATCATAATCCCATCACTCACATCTACTGTTAATCTTTTCATATCTTTCCTCCAGGCTTTTAAGAAAATGCATGTCTAGGCCGGGTGCACTGGCTCACGCCTGTAATCCCAGCACTTTGGGAGGCCAAGGTGGGCGGATCACAAGGTCAGGAGTTCGAGACCAGCCTGGCCAACATGGTGAAACCCCGTCTCTACTAAAAATACAAAAATTAGCCGGGTGTGGTGGTGGATGCCTGTAATCCCAGCACTTTGGGAGGCCAAGGTGGGTGGATCACAAGGTTGGGAGTTCGAGACCAGCCTGGCCAACATGGTGAAACCCCACCTCTACT